ATGAAATTCTTTACTTTTGTTCATTATACATGTTTATTCTTAAATTATTTTTTGAGTATTCGCATATCATTTCCGTCCAGAGATTTCCTTTTTGCCTTGAGAATAGGCTTAGTGTAACAGGAATTTGTGCGCACAGAAGGAAAGATTTTTTACAACATATTTTCCCGAGTACCTTCATAAATAACTACTTACTCTACCTTAAAGTTTTCCTTATCGTTCATTGTTTTTATCTTAGATAAATCCCTTTAAAACTTAAAGTGCCAGTATCCAGCATTACTTTTGATTAAACTAAGTTTGAAATTAAGAGTCCTTGAAACGAAATCGTCATAATAGAAACAATCTGCACCTATCCATGCAGGATAAACGGGACTATTATTTCCATTTTTATGCAAATTATCGCCTTGATTTTTTTTATTATTTAGGATGGCCTGGCGGCATCTCTCCGATTGTCCTAATCTCATCATTCTAGGTGGCACCCAATCACCTCGATTACCAATAATTTCCTTTGTTGTACGCCATGTATACAAGTCTTCAACTTCTCCCGACACTGCAGTTCGCTTTTTCCCGCCTCGTCAACAAGACATAAGACTGACTGAGCCAGAATCATTCCCTGTCGCTGAAGGAGGAGAGGCTTCGTGCAAAACTTTTGAACACGTCTATTTTTTGCATCACAACTTTGTGGCTACACTTCTAAATGATATGTTTGGTGTTCAGGCACGTGCAGGATGCGCTTGTGCGGGTCCGTATGCTATGGATCTATTGGGGATCGATGAGCAACTAGCACAGCTGTACGAAGAAGCCCTTGTCGGCTGGTTAGTTTCTAACTAGAAAATTTCCTTAGCGAATAGTCATTTTTATAAGACGATGCTATTTTGCATCTTTAGACTTCCCCAAATTCAGAATTTTGCTATCCTTCAGATTATGCTACTTCTTTGCATAACCTCTACCAAGCGAGTGTTACGCTTCGAACGCCCAAAGGGGGTTTCTTTTCGATGCAAGATATGACTCCACTTATGTGGAAAAGCCTTCGGCGCACCGTACTGCAGTCTCGATTACTTTTTGTTAACCTTTCGTTTATCATATAACGCATCATCAGAACGAAAAA